GTGAACGATTGAAACATACCAATTTGGCTATCGTAAAAGAAATATGAACACACGAATATGTGTATATATATATATGTATAAACGAAGTATATATTATTTTTCTTACTATCGATTTCGTCTATTCTAAACATTTCGAATTCAAAGGGAGAGAGTATTTCCTCCATTCCAAATCTATCTTTTTTATTGCTCTTATTCTAATCGTTATATATATGTATAAATAAAAAATTGTTACATATTATTTTCCATTCGTGTTTTCTTTGATAGAAAAATACAAAAAACCTTTGCGCTCTAATTTTCTCCAGAGAGAGAGAGAGAGAGAGAGAGAGAGAGAGAAAGAGTTCAAATAAAAAATTAATTTTGATATTTTTATTATAAATTCATATTATAGTCTGCATGCACATTCTTATTTGCACTCTTAAATAACTTAATAATGTAATAATTTCAGTTTTATTTGTAACAATATGCATTATTACATTTTTTTCTATATGCTTAAAAAGGATTTATATGACTCTTTTTCTCTCTTTCAAGTAATAATAATAAACTTTTATTCATTTAGTTATAATGATATGATAAATGTAAGTGGAAAAGTAGTGTAAGAGGAGAATACTAGTTCACAAAAAATAGCTGACTTAAAATAAAAAAAAAGCAGGAATTGAATAATAGAAGAGGAGATTGACTGAATTACAATCTTCTATCAATTCACATTTCTTATATTTCTATAAACATTATACAATGTAGGTCATCCTTGTACTCGCCTCAGAAATTGTTATCACATAGTAAAAAAATAATTTATTTAAGAATTAGAAAAAGAAAGATAAGGATAATCTTTGTATATTTTAAGTGTGATTCCATCCATAAAAGACTCGTACAATAATTGCTACTGCATAATGTAATATATGTTGAATAAATTTTCCTACAAGCATTCATATATTACAAATACACAGTCTTTCCTTGTATGTATACATACATTGAATAAGAATCTATACAATTGCATATTGTTCATACAATAATTCTCGTACTTTATAATAATCTTCAGATATGCAGCCTTCCAATATTACCTTCCCAGCTTCGTGCTAAAATAAATATAAAGTTCTTTATATGTGATTATATACATTCTATATATGAGAGTTGTCGGCATCACATATACTTTCTGCATTTAATGTATTGAAAAGTACAGGAAACGTGCTGACAAATCTATTATTACAATAATACTATGAAACAAACCCTTCGAACGGCGATAGTGTTATTACAACACCACAACACTCCTCCACTAAATTCTGATGGGATATTGCTTTTATTTAAAACTTGTTTAAAATCAGATAGTTTCAATTCATTTACGAATGTTGTTTGATGACCCGGAACCTATGGAAACGCAAACAATATAAATCAAATAAGGAATATTTTTTAATCGATATATCTTTTTATTTGCAGCTTCTATATCTCACTTCGTTCAATGGCAAGGGTTCCAAAGTCAATATTTTGTCACTTTCATTGATTACGTTTTCGGATTCGGTATCGGCGACAGCGTCTCGACAAATTTGATCACGAGCCGTTATCATCGCATCTATCCATGCCACTTCGGAATCACCTTTACCCTTCGAAAAATTCAGTCCACTGACTAAGGCATCGGTCAAACGCACCTATAAAAACAAAAATGTATTTTGTATGACAAACTCTGGCTTTTTACAATTAATTAAAATGAAAAATGAAAAAGAATAATTTATAATAACACTAACACTATTTAGTGTCAATGCTTAAAAACGGTATACTTATTGTATTACTTGATAAATGTGTGTTTCTGTTGTGGCGTCCAGCGTCTCTCCTCTGCCTGGAATAAATACTCTTGCACCAGCACTTTGCGCCTGCTGTGCTAAAATCTCTGTATCTTTGGGCGAACCCCTGACCAAGACTACTCTCCTCGGTCTTAACTGCGCTAAAATCTTTTGCAGGGATTCTCCATCTGATCTGCCTTCGAAGTCTATGTAAGTTACTGCCGCGTTAACAGTCATCGTACGTGAAACCTGTACGCATTTTGTCGGAATGTCGGCGGCTATTTCTGGATGATGACTGGCTTCTTCCTGCTTCATTTCTACATTTTCCTTATTATCTTCTACTTCAGGTGCTGCCTCTGCTATCTTATAATCTTCTGGTCTGTAATAATAAATATAGTAGGGAACAAAGATTATTCTCATAAAACACATGTAATTAAGTATATTTATCCAAATTATATTAATAGAGAGAAATTTTTTGTATTTATTAATTACTGTTGAAATATAAATACATGCAAATAATTTCACTTCTAGCATTTTTTATATTTAAATAATGTTGTGCACAGAGATGTATGCAGAGACTTTTGACAGAAAGAGAGATTAAGTGTATATGTCACTGCTTTAGAAGGTTTGGCTATATTTTACATATTGCTGTTGAGTAAATATATGTCTTTGTGGCATGTAGAAATATTCTTACTTTATGATTTCTCCATATTCGTCTATTTTGATCTTCTCCTCCACAAATGGAAACATGGGATATTGCTTTTTACTTTGTTTAAAGAAACCAGGTTTACTCTCTTGCTTCACCAGTAAATCATGTTTTCCTCTTCCACCACCAACTTCTATTTCGTCTTCTGATTCGGAACTAACGTCTGCAGTTTCCCTAATAAAACATATTACAAAATTAAGTAAAATATAAATATAACTGAATGAGATAGGTAGATGTATATATACATACATTTGTTCCTGTTTCATTTGCTCTTGCTTTAGCTTTTCTCTTTTCTGATATTCCTCCAGTTCAATACCTTCGAGTTTCACTCGCCTCCTTACTTCAAGGGTAATGTTTCGATTTCCTCCTTTTTCCACTAAATCTCTAGCAAGTGTACCAGGAGATGTTCTACTTGTTAGTATAATGCTATTTTGTGGATTAGTGCACCATTGGAGAAATAGTTCACGTGAGAATCCACACTCCATGTCTGGAGTGCTTGCAAGAACCACCTAAATATAGCATTTAAAATTATCTTTGAAATAAATTATTTAGGATGTGAGATGTGTGTATATACATGAGTTGCATAATTTTGATTCTCTTACCTTTGGACTTGGAACTTGGTTTAGTTCAACCATACTGTGACAAAGTTGCAAATGTTTAAATTGAAATGGATTATTGCGTGCACCTTCAAAGCTCCTCATTAATTTATCACTCATCCATTCAATTTGCGATTTTGCAAATTCTACAACGTTATAGCTCACATTATTAAGAAGGGCTAACGAGTAGGCAAGTAATCCTGATTCCTTGTTACGCCACAGTTGATCCAACATATGTGCCAATTCCAGTACACGGCCCGCAGTATCTACACTGACTAATACATTACCACCACCTCGCAATGTTTGCAGGATATTAGCTAAACAAAAATATAAATAGATTATTAAAATATCATTTATTTATCAATATCTTAATTTCAATAAAAAATATGAAATTTACTCATCAACTTCTCATCTCTTGTCCTTCGTCTAGCTTGCTGATATGTAGCATTGAATGCATCTGTTATCAATAATGATGGTCTTTGTAATCTTTCTAATTCACAACCATTTAAGTGACGTTCTTTTTTATGATTGAAATCAACAGCATATATTATATCCTCTTCTCCAACTTTCACAATTTTCCAAATTGTTCCACCAATCATGTGTCCTGCTGGCAAAGGTGTCAATGTAACACCATAGCCCTTACCTTTCATTGATATGCTTTGATTGTATTTCAGCTGTACAATTTTATCAAATGCAGCATCAACATCATCCAGAGTAAATAAATCAAAATCTTCCATATTGTGACGGGACTATAATGTGAGTACAATACTTTTAAATTATCTTATAATTAATTTGAAATATATCAAAATTTTTATACTTTCATATGTTAAAGTTGCATACCTGATACATATCATACATAAACATTTGACCCATTTTGTAGACAGGTATGGTGGCATATATGGGACAATTCAGGCCACATTTACCTACCAGATATGGTAACGAACCTAAATGTAATGGATCTGGATACGAAAGTAATACCGCATCTATTTGATTGACATGTCTGAAAATATAATTATTATATATTTTATTACAATAACACATACAATTTTTTTTTTGCGAAGAGATACCTTTTCAATTCTTTTATAAAATCCTGATCAAAGTTTTCATCCCATCCACAATCCAATAATATTCTCAATTCATCAACTTGTAATATGTAACAAGGCGGAGATTCGTCCATCGCCCCAGAAACAGCGTGGAGTTTTATAATAGATGTCATTTTGTAAATATTTTCCTTATCGTGTTATAAATCTAGCAGTATGCAGTACAAATTACGTTATAAATTATAAATATCTAATATACTAATCATCAATTCTTTCAATCTTCATAAACTTTGTATCGCTTGTACTTTAGCTTTAGCAAATACAATGAAAATTTTTGCGTGACATTTAGATTTTCATTACAATATTATTGTATTCAGATTATTTATCAGAATTTGCAGCAATGTATAATATGTTAGAGAACAATCTGATCAAAACATAAGGTTTGTATACAAATTTGTGAGATGTGTGCATAAATAAATTGATCACAAATTGATTCAACATCTCTTTCGGGATGGTAAGGTTTGTTCGCGCGTTTTGCTAGCACTGTCTAAAGCCCGTATCAGACTACGCATTGAAGATTGAGATTCAAGATTCAAGATTGAAATTTGACCAATCAGGATAAAGAAATTTTAGTCCCTTTTGTTCTGATTAGTCAAATTCCAATCTTTAATCTTCAATCTTCAATATTCAATGCGTAGTCTGATACGGGCTTAAAACCTACACATATTTATTTCTATTTTCTAAACGAAATTGCACGTTGATTGGTTATTCGAGAAACGATACTAATCAGGACAAAAAAATCTTTGTCCGGATTGGTCGATATATAGAACATGGATTAGAAACCCAGCTTTACGTTGCACATATAAATAAGCCGACTTGCCTGCAATGTGTTTTATGTTTTATATGTAGAGTGATTCACACATGGATGTCCACAGTTTCGAATCCAGAGGTCTTTTTAATCGTCTATTACGGATTCAAATCACTTTAATTGAAAAGTAACTGCGTACATAAAAGAATAATTATCATTTTCGATAAATTTTTTTAAATAGGTTATAAAAAAATAGGTAAGTTATTTAAGACTTGTTTGATAAAGAAATTAGTGTATATGATTAACTTTGCAAAGTTGTATACTAACAAGAAAAGCATTCAAACTATGATAAAATTATATTTTTATATTATTTGATTATATATGTTCATAGATAATTTTTACACATTTTATATGTATGTTTAACTATGAACTATAATAATAATACTATTAACTAATATAATTAAATCTAATAAACAGAAAAAAATGTTTTATTTAAACATTCTCTTCCATCAAACCCCAATGATTAATTTAGCTAATAGAATTGCTTACAAGATTTCTAATTATATAATTCATTTCTAATGTAATCTTTTTTGATATGCCAAATAACAAAAAATTAATAATTCTATCCATATTAATAAAATACAGGTATTAGTCTTTAGGTTAATTACTGAGTAAGTTATTGGAGTTTGATTGAAGTAACCTTTAATCTAAAATAAATATTCAAGATTTATAATAAATATATAATACAAAATTAAAAATTTCCAGATTTCGAAATGTCTGAAGCAAAAGATAACTTGGATACTGCAGGAGCGACAAATGTTACTTCAGATACTGCATCTACAACAGATAGTCAAAATACAGATAAAAAGATACCATGCATTATTGTACTTGGGATGGCTGGTGCTGGAAAAACATCATTTGTTTCCAGACTTGTTTCTAGATTGCATGATGTAGGAAAACCATATGTCGTTAATTTAGATCCTGCTTGTAAAGATGTTCCATATCCTGCTAATATAGGTAATTGTCATTTAATACAATGTTATATTTACATATTTGATATTCTATGCAAGTTAATAATTTGACAGTATTCAATATATATTCCTTTTAATATTGCATTCAATATTGTTTTTATCATTATGCTTTTGATCTAACAAAAATTTTGTACTTTTGGTATTTAATAATATTTGATTTAAAGAGAGCTATTTTTTCTTTCCAGATATAAGAGACACTGTAAATTACAAAGAAGTAATGAAACAATATAAATTAGGTCCAAATGGTGGTATAGTTACAAGTTTAAATCTCTTTACTACAAAATTTCATCAAGTTATCGAACTTATTAACAAAGCTAGTGAAGAGCACAATTATGTAATTTTTGACACACCAGGACAAATTGAGGTCTTTACATGGTCAGCCAGTGGTTCAATCATAACAGAAGCATTAGCATCTCAATTTCCAACCATTGTAATATATGTAGTAGATACTGTGAGAAGCGTTAATCCCGTCACGTTTATGTCCAATATGTTGTATGCTTGTTCTATACTTTATAAAACCAAACTACCCTTTATTGTAGTCATGAATAAGGTTTGTAAAACTATAATAGATTTATGATATATATATTTTCTTATCATACATTAATTTTTGAACAATTTGGATATAATCAGCTAAATATTGATGCATGATTAATTTATTTTAGATTGATATTGTTGAGCATAGTTATGCAATCGAGTGGATGCATGATTTTGAAGCCTTTCAAGAAGCACTTGATATGGAAAGTGGTTATATCAGCAATTTAACACGTAGTATGGCACTTGCACTAGATGAATTTTATGGTCACTTGCAATGTTGTGGCGTTTCTGCAGTAACAGGTGCTGGAATTGACGAATTTCTCAAGCTAACCGAAGCTGCTGTGCAGGAATATGAAATGTAAGAAATGCTATATATTTTCAGGATATATATATTGTTACAATTGAATGCTACATTGAATGATACTGCATAACTTTTATTTTTTGCAATATAAACAATAACTTGTTTTATTTTTAAAGTGATTATAGAAAAACATGGAAAAAAGTTAAGACAGAGAGGGATGCTCAACGACAAAAGACAGAAAAGGAACAGTTAGAAAAGATTGGTAAAAAAACAATGGGAGAAGATGTACCATTAATGTCAACAGTTAGCAGTAGTCGTGAGACCTCTGAGATCTATCTGAAACATGCATGCAATGAATCAAGCGAAGATGAAGATGGAACAGAAAACAAAGAAGATAAAGATGAAGAAAAGAAAGAAGTGGAGTCATTTAAAAGTTTTTTAGAAAGACATAAAATGGAACAAATTAAACGAAAGAATCAGGAATCTGAACCTAGTACAAGTAAAAAAAGTGATAATGTTGATTCCATTTAATTTTATATGTAATTTATATATATATATAATGCTTTTTGATTAAAGAATTATGGTTAGCTTATTTACCATAAAATAAATAAAATTTTAAGCTCTCTATTTTTATTGTTGATAATGATGATAATGTTGACTATATTTACATAAAGACAGATCTTGCTATTTTTTATTTGTTTTACATGTCAACATTGTCAACATCTTACAATCCTTTTAAAATTATAACATAAACATTTACATATTTTATTAATGCGTGTATATGTGATAACTAGTTTTATTGTCACATTATATTAAATTAATTTAACAGATCGAAAATACATATCACATTAGGAAACTTTATCATAAGTAATGTGAATATTGCTTAAGAGGAAACATTAAAACCAGCAGTTTCAAGTTAATTTCAATGAATGTCTGGAATGTTAAAATGTAGATTGCATTTATCTGTCGTAGCGATATACCAAGGTAATGACATTGTTTTGCCTTTGGACGAATTGATGTTTGAAGGAAGAAACGAAGAATATTTTTCATTCCGTTCTAGGACAGATTTTCGATTCGGAACATTGTTAAATTCGACCTCGTATAAAAGAGGAACTGTAAAATGTATGTAGTTATTAATATCTAAAACATTTATATAAATGTTGCATTTATATAAATGCATTTATATAAATGTTTTAGATATATAATATTGAATATTAAATATCTAAAACACACATATATTTATATTTAATATTAATATTTAATATTTAAATATATAATATTTAATATGTATATAACCATTGTTAATGTTTTTAAAGTAAATTTATTCTCAAGAGAGAGGGGAAAAAGATTATTTGGTATTAATAATTACTAATGTCTATTTTAAATATATTGAAATTTCGAGGTGCAAAATGATATGTGTCAAGAAATTTATCTCGAACCATGCCAAGGTTCTTATATGATGTCTGACAAGATGGAGTAGAATGAACCATTTCAATGAAATTCTTTTACCAGCTAAGATCAATTTCCCATAAACTTGTATATTAAAAAAAAAGATCATTAATTTAGATTGGTTTCTGTATACATTAAAAGATATTTCTGCTTCTCAATTTGTTCATAAAAAATTGATATATTTTTATGGATTTTGTTAATGCAATAATTATGTATTATAGTTGACAATAATTTTACAAAATTTTATTAATAGTAGTTTCATCAAAAAATTTAATGAAAGAACAAATAAACTTTTTGAATGATACAATAATACATTATGGCATAAATAATTAAGCCAAATTTTAGTATTTATACCTGTGTCTTGGGAGTTTGTTATTTTTTTCGGACTATTATCCTCTCTCTGCATTACAATTGGTCTTTTTTCGTGTTCTCGCCGATATTCTTGAATAATTTGCTCTAAAGTTTTAGTCAAAGCCAACTATTGAGAGTGAGAGAGAATTATAATAATTATATAATATCTGTAACATTTATTAATTTTTTTTATTAAGAAGTAGGTCACATTTAATATTGAAAAAACTCAAGTAATATTAATTAATTTTAAATAACTAATATTTATTAACATTATCTATTCTGATCCTTTATCATATATTAATCGATCATATTTATTTAAAGAATCATGTGAATATTTTTGTTATATGACATCAAAATGAATTAGTTTTTTTGCATTTATGTTGCAGTTCGTATTCGGCAAATGTACCTGACACAGTTTTAAGCGGGATACGCAATTCGCCTGTAATCGCGGACTCTCCTCCGCGCTTTTTGTAATCTCGTACTGCAAGCATTTGTTCTTTCCACCGGTCTTTCGGCATACCTTGGATAATAGGTCGACACGATCGGCGCGAAAATTGTCATGCAGAAACTCGTGCACGTGCGGGTTGTAGGAATTGCAAATTGGATCGCGGCTGTGGGAGGTCACCTTGCGGAAACCGTAAAGATTCAGCTGCCGAATGAAGCTCGTAATGTTGCTCGTCTTGAAGATGGGCCGGCGTGCGTCCAAGTACTCTGTCTGAAATCTCTTGTAATCGAGCAGTACGGTATCGCCATTCGCACCCCATCGTATCGCCCCGGTCTGGCATTCGTTCACTATTCGCCAGAGCTTCTGCGGGAATCGCATCGACTGCAGCACGCAATGTTCTTCGAACATTCTTGTCGCAGTTGTTGGGTGGCAATGGGAAATGCGGAGAGTCGAATCGAGAATGTTTCGAACGTCGCGTTTCGTCCGTGTCGTCTAATCTCGCTCTTCTCGAAACCAAGCTACCTTCGAAACAAAAGACCGTCACGTATCACGGCAACAATAATCGAGATGATCTGCGGAAAATCGCGGAGTCTCGCTGGCTCAGAACCAGTCCATTTCACATCCAAAAACTTACCATATTTTTAAATTAAGCTCATCGGTATGCTTTCGTATCTCTTTTCCGCATTCCTTCATGCCCATTTTATTCTAGCCATACTTTTGTATTTATATAAAGAGAGAGTGTTTTATATCGCTATTTTTTTACTGTTACTAAAAATTCTTTTTTATTTGAGTCGAAAAAAAAAAACAATAATTATCGTGACAATAATTCTTTTTCTTAAATTTTTAATAAAAATTAATTAAAATACTACATTATAATTACCGTATCGAAACGATCGTATAAACTATCGAAAATACTTTCTATCCATGCTTCTTTAAAGTTTGATTTACATAATTATTTTACAAACTTCACAAGATAGCATCTCTAAACGCGGAAGTGCAATTAAAATGAAGATTTAGCAAGAATAAATCGACGTATAAAAAATCAAACAACAAATATTTTGCATAATTGCAATTTAATTGCACCCGTCCGATAAACGCGATATGCTTGATTAAATAATTCTCACATTAACGTTTTATTTATCATTTTACTCTGCAGACTTATCAAATTAACGGCATTACAACATTACACTTCAAAATATTAATAAAATAGCTCTAACATATATATAAACGACATTAATACTATCTCGTGAGTGCGCACGCGTTCAGAAGCCTTAATATTCACAAGCTTTCGTATACATTTCCCTGATGTAAAAGATATAATTTACATTTGTTGACATTAACAACAATCATTATTATAATGATTCTTGCTTAATGATACAACATTTATTTGTACCATTATAGTTTAAGATTTGTTCAGTATGTTAACTTTTTTAGCGGAAATGCTGAAATATTCGTAATTTTTAAATCAATTTGAAGTGGAATTTCCTTTAAAATAAAATGTGGATTGCAGATTTAATTACGAGAAAATATGCAATGTATGAAATTTATGAAAAGGCTGTGAAAAATTAAATTTATCGCAGAATTACCGCATAAAAATTTTGTTTTTATACAGATTAACTTTTATACAAATAAGCATGGCATATTATTTGCTACTTATTCCATCAAATAATAATGGACCATGTGCTTTATATTCATAACTTCTCAGCTGATGGTATCACTGTGATTGCTTCACATAATCTGGAAGTATTACATATCCTTATTTCTCTCTGAGGAATTTAGGTCATATTTCGCATTTCTCTGTCATTTTACTGCTTCGCATTCGCGCGCGCATTTGGAAAATTGCGGTTCAAAGACAATTGTTCCATTGTTATATAATAAATACGCTATCAGTCGGATAGAGCTGGAAGAGCTTGCAGATATTCGCGAGGAGTCGCGGGAGCCGGAAGCAAGTAACCATCTGGATCCAAGACATCCGGGGTACGAACTGTCACAGGACCCTGCGGCGGTCTGGGCAATGATCCTTGCTGGATCAATTTGCTCTGCGCCTTCTCCAGCCTATCCAGGATGTCGGGAAACTTGATTCGTTCCCGCGGTTCCATCTTCCAGCAGTCGCTCATTATCTGGCAAACGACAGGCGGACATTCATCCGGTGGGAGAAGCATGATGCCTTGTAATATGAGTTTTACAACCTGTGTGTGCGTTGTAAAAATATGTTTGAGTCTCTATAATAGAATTAATAGACTAATAGAGCTATTGGAAGCACATTTCTGACCTCTTCGTTATTATGACCGTAATAAGGTTGCTTCCCGAATGAGAATACTTCCCAAAGGACAACACCGAAACTCCAGACATCAGTTTCTAACGTAAACCTTCCGTACATTACGCTTTCCGGCGACATCCAACGAACTGGTAGCAAACGTGATCCTCCAATCTGAGTATATTTAAAAAATGTGATGATTTAAAATTATGTAATGTAGCTACTACGCGCTCACATTAAAGATATGATTAAGGAGAAATGATGCATCAAGAGTTCTCCTTTCCTCTATGTAAAAGAAGAAAAAGTATCGAATTTTTTTTATATTATAATTTTACATAATACTTGAATGAATTTGTACCTTGTAATAGTCGCAGGTGTAGATATCTCGCGACATGCCGAAATCAGCGATTTTCACCACTAAGTCTGAACCCACCAGACAATTTCGACACGCCAGATCGCGATGCACGAATCTTTGCGCCGACAAATAAGACATGCCAGCTGCTATTTGTATCGAAATCCAATGCAGCGAATTCTATAAGCAATGATATTTTATCTTTGAATTATTTCCGTCGAGATAAAAAAAATCGCGCTAACTGCATTTATAATATAAATTTTATATCGTGTATGTGTGCGATAATAGATACATATAATGGTTTGTTTCGGATATAAAAAACGCGATTAACGATAAATCGCATGTGAATACCGCATCGTAATGTAAGAATTGCTGTAGCAACACGTAATTAAATTCGCGTCAAATGCGGAACTTTAGCGTGTTTTGCCGTATTATAAAAATATTTCGTAATTGATTACGTGTGTGATCGATTACGATACCTTCGTTAATGATTGCACGCCGGGTTTCGACAATCTAAATTGCGGGGAGTTGGCCCGTAGTACCTCGGCGAGATCACCGTATGGCATATACTCGAACACCATCCACGGATTATTCGCTGCATCTCGAAGCACCATTCCCTTTAGGGACAAGATGTTCGTATGACTGAACGTGGACATAATATCTACTTCTCGCATAAAGTCTTGTTCGGTTTCGGGCGTGGCGGTATCTTTTAAGACTTTTATAGCAACAATCTCTTTCGTGTCTCCGTTATGCCATTCACCTGTAAAATTTTTATTCTAAGAAATATCTCTGACGTTATTTATAATAATTCATGAAGCTATATAATCATATATATATATAAAAATAAGTTAAAAAATATTATTAATATTCGGAGAATATCCATTTTGTGAAGTTAAATTTCTAAGTGTTGAAGAAAGAAGAAAAAGGATTACTGAATACTTTTATGAATTTTTTTTGAGTTTTTTTTCTGTTATGTATTTTTATTTACTCAATTTAAATGATTTTGTACCTTTGAAAACCTTTCCAAAGCATCCTTCGCCGATGTCATGTAAAAATGTGAGGCTCTCCCGTTGTATAATCAGAACCCCAGGAGAAGTGCAGGTGAAATATTGAGGATTAGGCGTATACTTATGCGCTAATAATAATCCTTTTTTCAGATTTATTGGAGTCCCCTAATAAGATACATCAAAAGCGGGACATTATTATAATTATCAAAGATCATTAAATGCGCGTTATTAATTTTAAGATGTATAATATAATAATAAATGCAAACACTAGGCTAGTAAGAAACTGATTTCAGTTAATCTAATTCAAAATAATAAAATATATTTATTAAAAAAAACGACTTACATCTAAAGGACTTCTTTGAGATTTGATGCTATAACTCCGTCTTCTTACACCGTATACAATACTCAATAAAAGCATTATTACCGCGACGAAAGCTACAGCTGCTCCTACTATTTCAGGTACCTTGTATCTTAATCCTTCCACCTGTCGCATTTAAATCATTCTTATATTTATAAATAGTCAAACGAGATTATTGTGTAGACCTAAACATATGCATATAAAACTTTGGGATTATACTCAATAATAAAGATACCTGCTCAGCCTCCGGAAGCCCGGAGGGCTTCGTACTATTCGTGCCATTGTTGTTACTTGGTGGGATTATGTTGTGTATCGGACGAGGCGTTAGAGGAACTACACAAAATTATTGACTCACGTTACGACGTATTAAATTGTAACATTGGTTTTATCTTTACTATATGGACAATGAATTATATATTTTCGTAATTATTTAGGTTTTCATCAAATTAATCGTTACTCTAAATTATTAATTACAGCATTGCTCTTTTTTTTTTTACAGCGGAGTTTTGGCGAATAATAATCGCGCAGAGCTTTACCGATTACACGATTTGGACATCTTAAATCCGGCGTGGGTGGCGACAAGTCGTGAGGGCACACGCATTTCGATGTGCTGTCCGGGAAGCTGCGACAGGCCGCCTCCTTTCCGCAGATGTACGGATGATGCTTGCACGCCTTGATCTCGGAACTTCCGTAGATCGACGACGCTATTACGTCTGACTGCTGTTGATTGGATACGTTCACAGATAAATCTGCAATAATTATTATTTATTTTGCATTATTTTCTACGCCTTGCGGCGGATCTCTACGAGGGCATTTCAATAAATAAGATAACAAGACCTGTCATGTGTGGTATGTGAGAATACATATATTCATATATAACTGTAACATATTACTTTCCCACATATTCTTCACATATCTAGTTATTTATTCCACTAGTGCATCAAGGCATCGATTCCAATAGCAAAGAAATCAATGTCAAGATCCTGGAGGACACAGATGCTGGACCACCCGTCTCACAGCCCTGACCTTGCACCAAGTGATTTTCCTCTGGTAATTTATACAATCTTTTCATAGAAGATAAAGCGAACATAACGTTGCAATATATGTCTTCTCTGTCTTTGAATAAAAATTGCAGATATTTCAGATGAGTCGCGTTTGAATAAAATGTCATTCAAAAAATGGAAAATTTAAGATACAGCGTGGATTTCCAGCAGTTAACGCTGGAATTTGACGGCGGACTTTTGTCGCTGTGGCGTCGGTCGTGCCGGGAGGCAAAGAGATTGCCTCCGTGAGATTCGCAGGACCATCGCAAACGGACTGTAAAGGGCGCAGCTCGGGGAAAGAAAAAGGGCTACGTATTTGGATTGGGCACAGAAAGATAGAGACAGTGAAGGCATTCATTTGGTACTCTTGAAGCATGTAACGGGTCAAAGCGTTATCTCTGCGGTCAGCGCTCCCCGACAACGAGTCTCGCTATGTGTACCTATTATCGCCCCGTATATTCCTTGCCTGCCTGCAAGTATCTCCATTACGAGATTTCCCATATTTATGAGATCGCCCGTTTCTCTCGACGAGATCGATGCCGCATTCGAGCGGCACGTGTGCACATATAATGCTGAAATATAATGGATTGACACGTGTGACACACGATTCGTCGCAACCTTGTCACGCGGATGCAACTAGGAAGACGGTGGTCCCTCTTCCTCATCGGTGAAA